GATCTTGACATGGTATGAAAATGATTAGGGGTTCTCGTATCTAGTTGGACCCCCAATAAAAATGGATCCCAAATGGTGAACTTCTTGATGCTATTCTGCTATCTGCACAGTGTGTTATTATTAAAATTGAAGCTCATTCTCTTAGAATTGAACCTGAATACCAATGGAGTGTATTAGCAGACTTCTGTGCCAAGTCAGCTATCACTGAAATTATTAAAATGCACAATTTGAATGAAATATATAAAATTACTTATGAGAATTTGAATGATCTCTATAAATTATTTATGAAAACTTATTGAACTAACAATGTTACATACCTGAATTGGAACAAAAATAATTGGTATCTAAAAGAATACATGTAATTTTGAGGTTATAGTCGTGAATTCTTTGCCAGGACTAATGTCCAGAAGTTTTCACTTGGTTTTCTTCTAATATTTTTATAGTTTCAGGTCTTACACTTAAGTCTCTAATTCTTCCTAAACTGCTTTTTGAATATAATGAAAGATAGAGGTCCAGTTTTGTTCTTCTGCATATGGCAATCCATATTTTCCCAGCACCATTTATTGGAAAGGATGTCCTTTCCCCTGTGTATGTTTTTGTTGACTTTGTGAAATACCAGTTGGCTGTAGACATATGGTTTACTTCTAGGTTCTCTGTTCTGGTCCCTTGATCTATGTGTCTATTTTTATACTAGCACAAGCAACAACAATGAAAATAGGCAAATGAAACTTAAACTAAAGAGTTTCTGTACAGCAAAAGAAAGAAAAACAGTGAACAGACAGCAGAATGGGAGAAAATATTTACATGCTATGAATGTCACGGGAATAATTGATATCCATAATTTACAAGGAACTCAAACAACTCAACAAAAAGAACCAAATATCAACGGTAATAGAGCTGGAACCCATTCTACTAAGTGAAGTATCCCAAGAATGAAAAAATAAGCACCACATGTACTCACTATCCAATTGTTTTTAACTGTTCAACACCTAAGTGCACATATAGGGATGACATTCATTGGGCGTTGGGCAGTTGGGAGAGGGGAGGAAGAGATGGGTATAGACATACATAATGAGTGTGATGTGCACCGTCTAGGGGATGGGCATGCTTGAAGCTCTGACTCAGGGAGGGGGGGCAAAGGTAATCTACATAACCTAAACATTTGTACCCCCATAATATGTTGAAATTAAAAATCAGTGGACAAAGGACATAAATTGACAGTTTTCTAAAGGAGACACACAAATGGCCAACAAACAACTGAAAAATGCTCCACATCACTAAATCATCAGAAAACTACAGATTCAAACCCCAATTAGATATCATCTTATATCAGTAAGAATGGTTATTTAAAAGTAAAAAAAGTAAAAAACTATAAAAAAGTAAATAAATAAATAAAAAGAAAAAAACAATTTAGCAAGGATGTAAAGAAAAGGGAATTCTTCTACATTGTTAGTTGGAATGTAAATTAGTACAACTTCTATAGAAAATGCTGTGGAGATTTCTCAAAGAACTAAAAATAAAATTACAATTTTACCTAGGAATCATACTACTGCATATCTACCCTAAGGAAAATAAACCATTATATCAAAAAGATATCTTCATTCATATGTTATTCATATAACAGTAATTACAAATGAACCTCTCCTTGTCTTCTAAACTCAATCATACGAAGAACTCTGGGTTGTTTTCTTTTGTAAGAGACCTTTCTCAGAGTCTGTAAATTATAAAAATCACCTGTTAATCTTTCAGCAACTCTTGAAAAAAGTCTTAATGACACTTTACATTCTCTTCAACCAGTACAATCAGAAATAAATATTGTGGCCTCAGTATTAGTCCGAAGTATAGAAGAGTTCTTGATACTTTAACTGCTCAACAGTGAGGATCTTGTGCCCAAATAGATGACAAGTGTTTTTTCTGTATTAACAAATCAGGAATTGTTGCCAAAATTTAAGGATCTTAGAGAACACATGGAATCTTTCCTCAGATAGGGACTACTTCCTGCTGTGATTTATCCAATTGGTTAAATGTTGGCTCCTGGGAATTTTTGCTCTGGAAAAATTTTCAATTTGTGGCCATTATTTTTCTTGTAGTCATAGCATTTAACTCTCTGTTGCATCATATTTTCTCAAGAGTTGTAAATGCTTTCCAGCAGCCACTCACATGTCAAATAGTTGTCATCAGGATCAGACAACTTGACACATCAGCCATGACTATGGGATTGCTAATGGCAGCTCCAACACTCTCAGTCCCAGCACGTTGATAATAACATACCTGACTCTTCATCCCATATTTAATGACCTTCCACGTGGTCATTAGGAAGACCTACCACGTCTTCCCCCAAGCTCCTCAACCCTAGCCCTTGGATTTGAGTTTATCTGTGCAAGGCCAGTTTATGTGTGTACTGTCCTAGAGGATACCATGGTTAGCATGACCCTACTCCTAGTTTACTTTCTATTCTTACTGCCTTGAGATTATTAACAATTTTTAATAAAGAGTCCTGCATTTTTACTTTACCTTGGGCCCCACAAATTATGTAGTCTATCCTGTGCTTTGTAATTTACATTGATATCTAAGCAAAGAGATGTTAGCTGGCTTAAATAGAGGCTTGAAGAAACTCTTGTGCTTTTCTGATGGCCATCTTGTTTTGTCTGCCATCCCCACAAAAATATACTTGAGCTAGCTGGCTGTAAGATAGACACACATGGAGCACAGCCAGGGTTCCCTATTCATACCATCCTTGATCAGCCAGCATCCAGCTGACTTCCAGATGATTAGGCAAGCCTGGCCATTATTAGCAGAACTACTGAGCAGCCCACCCTCACATGACCTAGAAGTTGTGAGCAATAAATACTTTTATTTTATATTGTTATGGTTTTGTGGTTGGTTTTTATGCAGTATTTTGCATAATATTGTTGAGATTCATTTTTACTGATATGCACAAAATGAGTTCATTTATTTATGTGTAGTTGTAGCTACATCTAATTACCAATAGGTACATATTTAATTCATTAGTTTACAATTAAACCTCATTAATTATATTTATCCCTTATTTATAGTTTTCTATGTATATTTCATTTACTTCATTGATTTTAATTACTAACAACAGCAAGAAAAGCCTTTTCTGGATAACCTTGACTGTGAATTCTTAGTGCCTGTGAAATTGATAGACTGTAACTAAGAAAACACTCAAGTTTGTTGTATGCTGCAAATTATTTACTTCAAAAAATTTATGCCAATTTTACTGTCACCAAGAATTCAGAATGTTTCTGTTCTCTACTCTTGACAAAATGAGTATTTTCACTCATTGTTGTGAACTAATAGATGAAAAACTGTTATTTTACAGTTGTTTTAATGTGCATTTCTCCGGTTATTAGTAAAAGGTAATATCTTTTCAAATGTTTACTAACCATTCTAATTGAATTACCTTCTTAAGCTTTTGTTTTATCTTTGGATTTACTTTATTCATTTATTTTCAGTTCTTTGTTTTCAATCTATGATGCATCTTTGTTTTTCTTTCCTTTATTCTTTCCATTATTAACTCATGGGCATTTTTGTTTACCATTTTAATAACCTGTTATCTGTTCTCTGTGTTACAAATATGCTGCCCAGATTATTGACTGTCTTATTACTACAAAACTTAAATTTTCATATAAGTTATTATATTCGTGTTTAATTTTATGGATTTGGCTTTCCTCTTTTATGTCTCTCACATTTTGAATTTGTAACATAGGAATCCTATAGATAGAATTTTTAAAAATAGTTTTTACACTTAAGATACAAATTCAGTGCTTTCAGTTTCTTTACTTAACAACTGTGTTGCATTTTACAAGTCTTTCCAGTGCTAGTTTTATTGTTTACAGTTGCTTCATTTTATTGTCTGTTATATTCTAAATTTGTATGCTGTCCCAGATATTGCTTATTTAGAATTTTCAGATTATTCCTTCAGATAGAATACATGGATTACATGCTTTGTCACTCTGTGCCTATTTTCAAATATCCCTTATGTTCTCATAATTAAATAATATCTTAGTGATGTGTAGAATTTGTGAGTCCTTTTTAATGCTTTTAAAGTTCTATATAGTTTATCTTAAATGCTTTTTATAGTACATGATTTTTTGTTCTTGCATTTATGCATGTTTGTGTGTGTGTATGTGTGTGTCATAGGGGTGTTTCATTAATCCTCCCTGATATGTCATTAGTCCTTCATTTCTTTCAAGAGATTATTTCCTTTATCATTTTATTTATTCATTCTTTTTTCTTCTTTATTTTATTTTTATAGATGCATAATATTAGAATAGTTGCACATATTTATAAGGTACCGGTGATATTTTGATATAGGCATACAATGTGTAATGATCAAATTGGGTAATTGGGATATTCATCACCTATAATAGTTTTCACTTCTTTGTGTTGAGAACATTCCAAATTTACTCTTCTAGTTTTTTTGAAATATACAATAAATTATTGTTAACTGTAATCACCCTAATGTGTTAGCATAGAGCTAAATCATTAGTAAAGTCGTGGACGACACACTGTTGTTTTAAGCCAGTAAAGTTTTAAGCCAGTTTTGGAGTTGTTTGTAACAGAGTATAACTTCATGAAAACTACTTAATGCAACCAATCTATTGCTATATGTTAGCAAATATTAACTAAGGTGTTTATGCCATGAAATTATTGACAGTTGAATTTAAAAGAAAACTGTGGTTGAAATATGGAAGTCCTGGCTAATTCCAAAAATAACTCTGTGTTTGTCAGTTGGTCATTTTGAATTCATTAAAGCATCCATACTGTTTCTGGGTTATACAGGTTATTATTTTTCTTATGTTAAAATATGCACATATGCTATCAGAATGCAGCCAAATAATGAAGAGGTAAGTCTATTTAGGTTTTGGATATTTTTGCTTGAAAAATGAAAGTAAATTTTGTGAAATTTTATTGTTCCAAGTTATTTTTATTAATGATATAATTACAATAAGCTTTCATTATTTTGATTGAACTAGGTCATTTTTACACCCACGTTTCCTCGTGTATTTATACAACAAATCGGGAGCAATGTATCCAGATTCTTCATTTACAAAAGTAAGTTTTAGTTTCTGCCAAATTTTACATTTTTATGTGGTTAAGGTACCACCGTTAGAGAGCAAATTAATGTCTTATAGTCCACAGAATTATTGAGCAAACAGATCACAAACCGAAATGTAATGTGGCAATCACTATTGAAAGCACATTGACTGGAACAACTACTTTTTAAGTCTTAACTCAGGTATCACGTATCCAGAAAGGACATCTAAACTATTTTAATGTATTAGTAAAAATGTGAGGGATAAAAAAGTGGGTGAAGGAGCTAAGACATGCTGAGAAGTTTCAATTGACATTATCAGAGGACCTAAGCAGTAAAGAAATTACTTTCTAGAAAGACCTTAGGGAACTGGTGAGATCATTTAGCACAAGCAGATTGTGTATGGAATGTGAATAGGGTCACGTGCAAAACATCAGACTTTGAATTGTCTTCAAAAGGCAGGTAGGAGTCAAGAAATTTTTTTAATTATGTGGGAAAGTTAATTTTACCCTGTAAGATATTAATAAATATTGATATATTTAAATATATTTATAAATATATATTTATTAATATCTAATAAATATTTTGGCAGAACACATGATTGAGAAGAGACAAATGCCAATGATTGATCGTATTTTATCGCTATATTGAAATTGAGAAATAATAGAATTAAAAATATAGTAATTAGTAAAGGATTTGCCCTCCCTACCATGTTACAAATAGAAAGCAGAAAAACATGTGAGGCAGCTGTTCTGAGACATCTGACAATAGGCAGATAAAGAATTTTGTCCCTGAGAGAAAGAAAGCACAGAAAATGAGTTTCCCATTAACTTTGGGCTCTCAGATTGGGCATAATGTCTGGACCATAGCTTAGGGGGATAGATCCAAGTAGAACTCTAAGAGTTTGGAGTCTAGGATTGCTGGAGCATTTGTAACTTCCATGACATAGTACCAGAGATGAAGGGGGCTCTCACTCTCAGATCTGTTTTCTCTGTGTTTTTCCTTCTCTGCTTGACTATAAATAAGGCTGCACATTTGCTGGGCAGGACTCTACTGAAGGGTTTTGAGTAAAAAGGAGATACTAAAGGTCTTTCATTGTTTAGAGATGTTGGATTTTCAGCCAATGCATTGGCCGGTGACCTTGGTATTCAGGTAAGGCATTCAGTGAAGACCACAAAGGCAAATCCTTGGAGAAAGGATCAAGGTCTGGAGAAAGGGCTACTCTTAGAACTTTGCACTTTTATTCCATTGCCTGAACGCCAACATTGAGAGGATTAAGGAGATAGCTTTGGACTACAGAATGCAATACTATATAAGAAAAAAATAGTAGAGGAAGAAAATAATTCAGAGAAGGACAGACATTAATGATATATTAAAAAGTAAAAGAAGAGACAAAAAAAAGCAAAATTTAGTTCTTTAAAAGAACTAATAAAATTCATAACCCCCAGTAAGTCTTATCTACAACAAAAACAGAAAATCCTGTCAATATTAGGGATAAAAGGCAATGTTATTAGTCACATAGAAAATAAAATGATAATTTAGAATATTATGAACTCTTTATGCCAATGAATTTGTTAATTTAGATTAAGTGGATTATTTGGAAAGGCAATTTATCAAAATTGAGAGAAGGAAACAAATAAACAATTTCAATCACTTGATATCTATTTAAAAATTGAATTCCTAAACAACCACTTGCCCACAAAGAAACACCAGGTTTAGGTATCCTCACACCAACTGGTTCAATATATTAGGATGAAAGGAGCACCTCATCTGTTAAGAGATGTCTTGGTTATTGCAGTGTTTGACTATTAAAAAATAATCTTTTTATGATCATTCATGTACAGTGTGAATATAAACTTTTACTTCCATGGAATACATGCCAGGAATGTGATTGGCAGGTCATAAGTAAATCTATATTTACTTTTTAAAGAAAAATACCAAGTCATTTTTCAGAGCATTTGTATTATACCACTTTGTATTCTCACCAGCAATATATGAGAGGTACAGATTTTCTGCATCCTTGCCACCATTTGTTGTTATCACTATATAAAAACAATTATCCTAGCCATCCTTATAGTTATGTAGTGACATCTCATGTGGTTTTTTTTCAACAATTTAGCAAAGTGGTTTTTTTTATTTTTTTATTTCAAATTATTATGGTATATGTGATTTTTTAAATTTCAGCATATTATGGGGGGTACAAATGTTAAGATTACGTATATTGCCCATGCCCCCCTCTCCCCTCGAGTCAGAGCTTCAAGCGTGACCATCCCCCAAACGTTGCACATCTCACTCATTATGTTTGTATATACCCATCCCCTCCTCCCCCCTCCCGGCTGCCCAACACCCGGTACATGTTATTCCTATATGTCCACTTAGATGTTGACTCTGTTAATACCAATTTTCTGGTGAGTACATGTGGTGCTTGTTTTTCCTTTCTTGAGATACTTCACTTAGTAGAATGTGTCCAGCTCTAGCCAGGAAAATACAAGAGGTGCCATATCACCATTGTTTCTTAAAGCTGAGTAGTACTCCATGGTATACATATAATTATGGGTATATATGGTTTTGATTGTCTTTTTCCTAATCACTAGACGGGCAGATTATATTTTCATGTGCTTATGCGTCACCTTTGGTGACATGTCTCTTAATGGCTTTTGCTCTTTTTCTAATTGGAGTTTGTGTTTTTACTATTGTTTTTGGGGTTTTCTATATTAACTTGTCCTTTGACAAACATGTGGTTTGCAAATATTTTATCCCAGTCTATGATTTTTCTTTTCATTCTTTTTGTACGGTCTCTCAATGATCGGAAATTTTTTATTTTGATGAGGGCTAATTTAGCAATTTTTCCTTTGTTTGAAGGGTTGTTTTGGTGTCGAATCTAAGAACTCTACATAGCACTAGTTCCTGAAGATTTCCTGTTTGTTTTCTAAAAGTTGTATGTCTCACATTTAATTCTGTATCTATTTTCAGATAATTTTGTATAAGATGTGATGTTTGCATCAAGGTTCATTCTTTGACTGAATGTGTAATAGTTTTAGTGTATATATGCATATGGGTAATAGTTTTAGTGTGTATGCACAAACATCAGCATATATATATATACATATATATATATATATACACACACACATACACATATATATATATTTTGGGGATTATTGCCTCTTCTGTTTTCTGGAAGATGTGTAAATATGCGTCAATTCTCAACCTATTTTGTAAAATTGTTCAGTAAAATCACCTGGGCCTGGGGGAATTGTGTGTGTGGTAGGGAGCTTTTTAATTGCCTATTACATTTATTTAATGGATATACAAATATTCAGTTTATGTTTCATTTGTGTTACTTTGGTGGTTTGTTATTTTTGAAGATATTTTTTCTAATTTCATCTCAGTTGGTTAATTTATGGATATAAATTTGTTCATAGTATCTCTATATTTTCCTTTTAATGAAAACATAAGCTGTGCTGCTGTTTCATCCCTGACATTGATGATTTCTGTGTTATCTCTTTTTAACTTTGTCATCTTGCTGAAGGTTTTCAGCTTTATTAAATTTATCAACAAAATAGGTTTTGCCTTAATTTTCTCTATTTTTTCTGTTTTTAATTTCATTGATTTTTTCTCTCATGTTTGTTACTTCTTCCCTTCATACTTGGTTTGGATTTATTTTGGTCTTTTTCTAGTTTGTTCAAGGAAGAAGTCATATTATTGACTTGTGCTATTTTCTCTTTTCTATTTTAAGCATTTTAGGAGTACAATTTTCCTCTCATCGCTGTTTTGCTTGCATCCCAGAATAATATGTTGTACATTTGACCATTAAACAACATGAGTTTGAATTGCGCAGGTCTACATATACATGAATTTTTTTTCAGTAGATATATTTTTTAAACATTTTGAGCTTTGTAACAATTAGAGAAAAAACTTGCAAGTGAACTTCATAGCCTGGAAATATCAAAACAATTAAGAAAAAGTTAGGTACGTTATGAATGCATATAACATATGTACATACTAGTGTATTTTATCATTTATGTATGCACCCAACTTAGGTGCACCCAGATTCATACAGCAAATTCTACTTGATCTAAACAAAATGATAAACACCATAATAGCCAGAGACTTCAACATTTTTTAAAGAATGGTTTTGCTACATATATTCCTAGATATTTAATTTTGTTTGGGGCTATAGTAAAGGGAATTGCATTTTTGATGTGAGCTTCGGCTTGAGGGTTCTTGGCATATATAAATGCCTCTGATTTGTGTATGTTGATTTTGTAACCTGAGACTTTACCGAATTCATTTATCAAATCTAGGAGTCTCTTGGAGGACTCCATGGGGTTTTTCTAGGTATAATATCATATCATCTGCGAAAAGCAAGAGTTTGATCTCATCTGCACCCACTTGGATGCCCTTAATATCCCTCTCTTGCATGACTGCTATAGCTAGAACTTCGAGTACTATGTTGAATAAAAGAGGAGATAGTGGGCATCTTTGTCTAGTTCCGGTTCGAAGTGGGAATGGTTTCACTTTTTCCCCATTCAATATGATATTGGCTGTGGGTTTGTCATAAATGGATTTGATAATTTAAATATAAGAACTGCCTATGCCTATTTTGTTCAGAGTTTTTATCATAAAGTTGTGTTGGACTCTGTCAAATGCTGTCTCTTCATCTATTGAGACAATCATATGGTCTTTGTTCTTGTTTTTATTTATAAGGCGAATTGCATTTATAGACTTGTGTATGTTGAACCAGTCGTGCATCCCTGGGATAAAGCCCACCTGGTCCTGGTGAATTATTTTTTTTGATGTGCTGCTGAATCATGTTTGCTAGAATTTTGTTGTGGATTTTGCATCTATATTCATGAGGGATATTGGTCTGTAATTGTCTTGTTTTGTTGCATCTTTCCTGGTTTTTGTAGGAATATATCTAATGAAAGATACAAAAGGCTTATACAAGGAGAACTATGAAACACTAAAAAAAGAGATTGTAGAAGATGTAAACAGACAGAAAAAACATGGATTCATGGATTGGTAGAATCAATTGGTAGAATCAATATCGTTAAAATGTCAGTATTACCTAAAGTTATCTATAGGATTAATGCAATTCCCATCAAAACGCCACCATCATTCTTCACAGATCTAGCAAAAATAATTCTTCGCTTTGTATGGAACCAGAAAAAACCGTGTATAGCCAAAGCAATCTTAAGAAAAAAGAACAAATTGTGAGGCATCAATCTTCCTGACTTGAAGCTGTACTATAAAGCAATAATAATTAAATCAGCCTAGTCCTGGCATAAGAACAGAAGCATTGATGTTTGGAATTGGTCTGAGATTCCAGACATGAACCCATCTGCATATGGTAACTTAATCTTTGATAAAGCAAACAAAAATATACATTGGGGAAAAGAATCTATCTTCAATAAAAGGTGCTGGGAAAACTGGATATCTACATGCAGAAGAATGAATCAGGATTCCTACCTTTAACCTCTCACAAAAATTCACTCAAAATGGATAACAGACCCAGTCTACAAAGATAGGATGAGGTGTCCACTTTGTCTAATATGTAGATATCAACACAGAGGAATTGAGAAAATGATGAATCAGGCAAACATATTCCAATCATAATACATGATAAAGCTCCAGAAGCTTACTCTAATTAAGTTATATGATTAACCTGACAAAGAATTAAAAACAATTCCCATCAAGATGCTCCCTGAGATCAAGAGAACAACACATGAAAAAAGTAAAAATTTCAACAAAAGAAAATATATATTTAAAAAGTACCAGGTAGAAATTATGGAGCTAAGGAATGCAATAACTGAATTGAAAATTTAGTAAAAGATTTCAAAGGAAGATTAGATCAAGTAGGGAATAGCTCAACCTACTTGAAGCAAGTCACTTGACATAATTAATAAGAGAATAAAAATTCTAAAACACAAAAAAGTGTGAAAAAGTTTGAGGAACTTATAGAACACCATCAAGTGGTCCAAGATACAAATTAAAGAAATTTCAGAAAAAGCAGAGGGAAAAGGCCAGAAAGTTCTTTCAAATACATAATGGTAAAACCTTCTCAAAACTGGGGAAGGAAATTGATATACATACCCCAAAAGCCCAAAGACATCAAATAAGATAAATTTCAAGATATCCACACCTAGACACATCTTAATTAAATTTTAAAAAGTCAAAAACAAAGAGAACTTGAAAAGTACAAAAGAATAACAACTTGTCACATACAAAGGAAATTTCACAGAATTATGAGCAGATTATTTTTTTCAGGAGAAACCTTAGAGGCCAGCAGGGAGTGGGATGATATATCAAAAGCGCTGAAAGAAAAACAAAAGCCAAATAAGAATACTACACAAAGGAAAACCATTCTTTTTATTATTATTTCAGCATAATAAGGGGGTACAAATATTAAGATTACATACATTGGTATTGCGTTTCCTCCCCCCTCAAGTCAGAGCTTCAAGCATGTCCATGCCCCCGACAATCCACAATGCACTTGTAATGTATATAAACCCATCCCCTCCCCCTCCCACTTGCCTGACACCCAACAAATGGTTTTTTGTTTTTTTTTTAACATTTTGATTAGATTTTATAATTTTGCCTTTACTTAGCAAAGGTTAGGGTTATGCCCTTCCCCTCCACATTGTTCGGCATATCTCTCAGATGTCGATCTATCCCCCCACCCCCCTGAATCTCTGATGAACACCACCCCACTTTGAGCACCATATTGAAAATTGGTCAGTACCACTGTGATGGCAAGTACATATGGAGCCCATCCCTCTGATCTTGTGTCACCTCACTTTGGATAATGGGCTCAAGCTCAATCCAGGATAACATAAGCAGTGTTAGCTCGCTCTCATTTCTTAGAATTGAGTAATATTTCATTGTAAACATATCAAATTTTAATTTTCCAGTCGTGAATTGATGGGCACTTGGGTTATTTCCACGTCCTTGCAAGAGTGAATTGTGCTGCCAAAAACATTCGGGTGCAGATGTCTTTATAATACAATGATTTATGCTCTTTTGGGTAGATGCCTAATAATGCTATTGCTGGGTCAAATGGTATTTCTATTTTTAGCTGTTTGAGGTATCTTCAAATTCTTTTCCACAATGGTTGCACTAATTTGCAGTCCCACCAGCATTTGAAAGAACTTTCTGGCCTTTTCCCTCTGCTTTTTCTGAAATTTCTTTAATTTGTATCTTGGACCACTTGATGGTGTTCTATAAGTTCCTCAAACTTTTTCACACTTTTTTGTGTTTTAGAATTTTTATTCTCTTATTAATTATGTCAAGTGACTTGCTTCAAGTAGGTTGAGCTATTCCCTACTTGATCTAATCTTCCTTTGAAATCTTTTACTAAATTTTCAATTCAGTTATTGCATTCCTTAGCTCCATAATTTCTACCTGGTACTTTTTAAATATATATTTTCTTTTGTTGAAATTTTTACTTTTTTCATGTGTTGTTCTCTTGATCTCAGGGAGCATCTTGATGGGAATTGTTTTTAATTCTTTGTCAGGTTAATCATATAACTTAATTAGAGTAAGCTTCTGGAGCTTTATCATGTATTATGATTGGAATATGTTTGCCTGATTCATCATTTTCTCAATTCCTCTGTGTTGATATCTACATATTAGACAAAGTGGACACCTCATCCTGTCTTTGTAGACTGGAAGGAGAAGTCTCATCCAAGAGAATTCCCTACCCTTCAGCTGGGCAAGAAATTTTGGGAGTTTCAATCAACTTTCCTTTTGGCCTCTTTCTTGGCTGAGATTTTCTGTTCTTTCATTTATTTCAAGAGAATTTTTAATTGTTCATTAATGAAATTATATTAGTGCTTCTTTTAAACATTTTTGATTAGTTTCATGCTATTACTCATCTCAATATTGGCATCAGTTGATTTTTTTTTTTTTTTACATTCTTGGATTTTTTTCGGTCCTTGGTATAGAGTGATTTTGATTGTATCCTTGACATTTAGTGAAGCAGATTCTTGACCTTATTTAATATTCCATTTTAGAAAACATTCATCTTAATTTTAGTTTTAATGTAGTCTACTGTTCCAATGAGAGTTTAGCTTTCTTAGGAATTGCAACATTATTGTGTTGTGCATCTTTTACTTTTTTTCCATTTTTTTTTACTTTCAGCGTCGTATGGGGGTACAAATGTTAAGGTTACGTATATTGCCCATGCCCCGCCTCCACCCTTGAGTCAGAGCTTCAAGCGTGACCATCCCCCAAACGCTGTACATCTCACTCATTGTGTTCGTATATACCCATCCCCTCTTTTCTTTGATTTGTTGAAGCTGCTGTTGTATCTTATGTCATTCAGCTGAAGGTGTAGATGGTACTTCCCTGGTCCAGGTGGGTTGCTAGGTGAGGGTGGTTGATAAAAGACCCATAGAATGGAGGCCATTTCCCTTGACTGTTCTCTGGCTACTAGACGTCAGTGTACTTCATTCTACCTCTATTCATCTGGGTGGATAAAGCTCTTATCTGGCTAGCTGCGAGTGAGGAGTATTGAGAAACATCACATGAGGATCATTTTATCCCACTAGGTGCACTGCCAAAATTGTTGAGTCTGGTTTTCTCTGTACTGCTGGGGAGGATCGTGGTCTGGTTTCCCTTCTGCCTTTTTGTGAAGGGCTTGTAGATACATATTTTGCTGGCACCAATGGAAGTTTGGGTGGCTGCTACTGTAGTTTGACATATAGCAGAGTATGGATCTCCCTGCTTGCAATTAGCTAGCCCTGATGGTGTGGGTGTATCAGGCACTATGCTAACAACTTTGTGTACAACATGAGATGAGTTGGCCAAACTGCGTTCTGGTGACCGCCACTGAGAGTAGATTTGTCATGCCATTGTCAATGATTGGGTAGAGGGGTTATGTGTAGTTTTGGGGAAAAAAAAGTGAATGATCTCTGATGAACGTGTCTGTTTGGGAGATAACATAATAGATATATCCATAGGGAAGAATATGATGACACTAGAGTTTTCATAGTATAGAATAAGAAAAAAGACTAACCCTATATATCACTAGACTTTAGAGAGCAAAAAGGAGAAATCACTGAAAAATATTAGGGGAGAACCTGGAAAAGAATAACACCATAGATATGGATGGGAAGGATGGTTTGAACTAAAGATGGTCACTTATCTCTACAGAGATATACTAAAATGATATCAAGATGAAGAAATGTTAATTATAATAATACTTCTGCGTAACCCAGAACATAGAACTGAATGTTCATAGTCAAAATCAAATGTACTGTGTTAATTATATCGTTAGCAGTTATAAACTATATACTCAGGAAATGTGGCTGAAAAGGAAAAGACACAAATAAGAAAGTTGTTTGTCAAAAATTTTAAATTGTAGCAATAATTATTTAGGGGAGGATCATAGTCATAATTATTCCTAGGCAGAACGGATTTAGAGGAAGAGATTACAGATAGATTACAAAGAAATTGATTACCTAAGGAATAATGTTATTATAATCGCTAAATGTGACTGATAATATCAAGAAAGTAAAGATAAAAGCTAGGATTTCATTTGCAAATTATTTATGAATGTATCTTCCTGTGTTCTTATTCAGGGCCATTGCTTTTATCAAGGATATGCTGCAGAGACTCCAAAGTCAGTTGCAACACTAAGCACTTGTTCAGGACTCAGGTGATGTCATATTCCACAGATGTACCTTAAGATCTTGTGTGAGCCCATAATTTTCAAAAAGGATAGAGTGAATAATAAGAAATATAGACTCTCTTGTGTTTCTTATCATATGCTTTTTTTTTTTTTTTTTTACCTATTCCTCTTTCTCTTATCTACTTTCCTATTCTTTTTGTCTGTGTCCCACTGGTGCAGTCATAAAAATGCATGCAGAAAAGCTTCCACTTGCATGAAGAGTATTCAGGTTTCTTAGCCACACTATAACCACACCTATGCTTACTTTCTATAATAGACAAACGATGAGCATAAAATTGTGTTTGAAAGTTAATACAAGAAAGATGGGTGATTACCAGATATTTGAGTGCAATGACTATTGTCAAATTTTATAAAATGTTTTTATTTAGCATTTTTTTACATTTCTCAGTGGGGCATCTACACCAATTATGTTTTTTTTTTTTTTTTTTTTCCCAGGAAAAGGCAGTGAGACCAATTATGTTTTTATTTATTTTATGTTGGAATATTTAGGGGAATGCTGCAGTTAAAGAATATCAGTTATGGTATTGAACCATTGGAATCATCCTGTGAATTCCTTTGTATGTGACAAGTGTTATTCTTTTGTACTTTTCAAGTTCTCTTTGTTTTTGACTTTAAAAATTATAATTAAGATGTGCTAGTGTGGATATCTTGAAATTATCTTATTTGATGTCTTTGGCTTTTGGGTATGGTATATCAATTTCCTTCCCCAGTTTTGAAAGGTTTATCCATTATGTATTTGAAAGAACTTTCTGGCCTTTCCCTCTGCTTTTTCTGAAATTTCTTTAATTTGTATCTTGGACCACTTGATGGTGTTCTATAAGTTCCTCAAGCTTTTCACACTTTTGTTTTTTAGAATTTTTATTCTCTTATTAATTAGTCAAGTTACTTGCTTCAAGTAGGTTGAGCTATCCCTACTTGATCTAATCTTCCTTGAAATCCTTTACTAAATTTCAATTCAGTTATTGCATTCCTTAGCTCCATAATTTCTACCTGGTACTTTTTAAATATACATTTTCTTTGTTGAATTTTACTTTTCATGTTTGGTTCTCTTGATCTCAGGGAGCATCTTGATGGGAATTGTTTTAATTCTTTTCAGGTTAATCATATAACTTAATTAGAGTAAGTTCTGGAGCTTTATCATGTATTATGATTGAATATGTTTGCCTGATTCATCATTTCTCAATTCCTCTGTGTTAATATCTACATATTAGACAAAGGGACACCTCATCCTATCTTTGTAGACTGAAGAGAAAGTCTCATCCAAGAGAATTCCCACCCTTAGCTGGCAAAAAATTTTGGGAGTTCAATCAACTGGAACACTCTTACACTGCTGGTGGGACTGCAAATTAGTGCAACCATTGTGGAAAAGAATTTGAAGATACCTCAAACAGCTAAAAATAGAAATACCATTTGACCCAGCAATAGCATTATTAGGCATCTACCCAAAAGAGCATAAATCATTGTATTATAAAGACATCTGCACCCGAATGTTTTTGGCAGCACAATTCACTGTTGCAAGGACGTGGAAATAACCCAAGTGCCCATCAATTCACGACTGGAAAATTAAAATTTGATATGTTTACAATGAAATATTACTCAATTCTAAGAAATGAGAGCGAGCTAACACTGCTTATGTTATCCTGGATTGAGCTTGAGCCCATTATCCAAAGTGAGGTGACACAAGATCAGAGGGATGGGCTCCATATGTACTTGCCATCACAGTGGTACTGACCAATTTTCAATATGGTGCTCAAAGTGGGGTGGTGTTCATCAGAGATTCAGGGGGGTGGGGGGATAGATCGACATCTGAGAGATATGCCGAACAATGTGGAGGGGAAGGGCATAACCCTAACCTTTGCTAAGTAAAGGCAAAATTATAAAATCTAATCAAAATGTTAAAAAAAAAACAAAAAACCATTTGTTGGGTGTCAGGCAAGTGGGAGGGGGAGGGGATGGGTTTATATACATTACAAGTGCATTGTGGATTGTCGGGGGCATGGACATGCTTGAAGCTCTGACTTGAGGGGGGAGGAAACGCAATACCAATGTATGTAATCTTAATATTTGTACCCCCTTATTATGCTGAAATAATAATAAAAAGAATGGTTTTCCTTTGTGTAGTATTCTTATTTGGCTTTTGTTTTTCTTTCAGCGCTTTTGATATATCATCCCACTCCCTGCTGGCCTCTAAGGTTTCTCCTGAAAAAAATAATCTGCTCATAATTCTGTGAAATTTCCTTTGTATGTGACAAGTTGTTATTCTTTTGTACTTTTCAAGTTCTCTTTGTTTTTGACTTTTTAAAATTTAATTAAGATGTGTCAGGTGTGGATATCTTGAAATTTATCTTATTTGATGTCTTTGGGCTTTTGGGTATGTATATCAATTCCTTCCCAGTTTTGAGAAGGGTTTACCATTATGTATTTGAAAGAACTTTCTGGCCTTTCCTCTGCTTTTTTCTGAAATTTCTTTAATTTGTATCTTGGACCACTTGATGGTGTTTCTAAAGTCCTAAACTTTTTCACACTTTTGTTTTAGAATTTTTATCTCTTATAATTAGTCAAGTGACTTGCTTCAAGTAGGTTGAGCTATTCCTACTTGATCTAATCTTCCTTTGAAATCTTTTACTAAATTTTCAATTCAGTTATTGCATTCCTTAGCTCCATAATTTCTACCTGGTACTTTTTTAAATATATATTTCTTTTGTTGAATTTACTTTTTTCATGTGTTGTTTCTTGATCTCAGGGAGCATCTTGATGGGAATTGTTTTTAATTCTTTGTCAGGTTAATCATATAACTTAATTAGAGTAAGCTTCTGGAGCTTTATCATGTATTATGATTGGAATATGTTTGCCTGATTCATCATTTTCTCAATTCCTCTGTGTTGATATCTACATATTAGACAAAGTGGACACCTCATCCTGTCTTTGTAGACTGGAAGGAGAAGTCTCATCCAAGAGAATTCCCTACCCTTCAGCTGGCAAGAAATTTTGGGAGTTCAATCAACTGTCCTTTTGGCCTCTTTCTTGGCTGAGATTTTCTGTTCTTTCATTTATTTCAAGAGAATTTTTAATTGTTCATTAATGAAATTATATTAGTGCTTCTTTTAAACATTTTTGATTAGTTTCATGCTATTACTCATCTCAATATTGGCATCAGTTGATTTTTTTTTTTTTTTACATTCTTGGATTTTTTTCGGTCCTTGGTATAGAGTGATTTTGATTGTATCCTTGACATTTAGTGAAGCAGATTCTTGACCTTATTTAATATTCCATTTTAGAAAACATTCATCTTAATTTTAGTTTTAATGTAGTCTACTGTTCCAATGAGAGTTTAGCTTTCTTAGGAATTGCAACATTATTGTGTTGTGCATCTTTTACTTTTTTTCCATTTTTTTTTACTTTCAGCGTCGTATGGGGGTACAAATGTTAAGGTTACGTATATTGCCCATGCCCCGCCTCCACCCTTGAGTCAGAGCTTCAAGCGTGACCATCCCCCAAACGCTGTACATCTCACTCATTGTGTTCGTATATACCCATCCCCTCTTTTCTTTGATTTGTTGAAGCTGCTGTTGTATCTTATGTCATTCAGCTGAAGGTGTAGATGGTACTTCCCTGGTCCAGGTGGGTTGCTAGGTGAGGGTGGTTGATAAAAGACCCATAGAATGGAGGCCATTTCCCTTGACTGTTCTCTGGCTACTAGACGTCAGTGTACTTCATTCTACCTCTATTCATCTGGGTGGATAAAGCTCTTATCTGGCTAGCTGCGAGTGAGGAGTATTGAGAAACATCACATGAGGATCATTTTATCCCACTAGGTGCACTGCCAAAATTGTTGAGTCTGGTTTTCTCTGTACTGCTGGGGAGGATCGTGGTCTGGTTTCCCTTCTGCCTTTTTGTGAAGGGCTTGTAGATACATATTTTGCTGGCACCAATGGAAGTTTGGGTGGCTGCTACTGTAGTTTGACATATAGCAGAGTATGGATCTCCCTGCTTGCAATTAGCTAGCCCTGATGGTGTGGGTGTATCAGGCACTATGCTAACAACTTTGTGTACAACATGAGATGAGTTGGCCAAACTGCGTTCTGGTGACCGCCACTGAGAGTAGATTTGTCATGCCATTGTCAATGATTGGGTAGAGGGGTTATGTGTAGTTTTGGGGAAAAAAAAGTGAATGATCTCTGATGAACGTGTCTGTTTGGGAGATAACATAATAGATATATCCATAGGGAAGAATATGATGACACTAGAGTTTTCATAGTATAGAATAAGAAAAAAGACTAACCCTATATATCACTAGACTTTAGAGAGCAAAAAGGAGAAATCACTGAAAAATATTAGGGGAGAACCTGGAAAAGAATAACACCATAGATATGGATGGGAAGGATGGTTTGAACTAAAGATGGTCACTTATCTCTACAGAGATATACTAAAATGATATCAAGATGAAGAAATGTTAATTATAATAATACTTCTGCGTAACCCAGAACATAGAACTGAATGTTCATAGTCAAAATCAAATGTACTGTGTTAATTATATCGTTAGCAGTTATAAACTATATACTCAGGAAATGTGGCTGAAAAGGAAAAGACACAAATAAGAAAGTTGTTTGTCAAAAATTTTAAATTGTAGCAATAATTATTTAGGGGAGGATCATAGTCATAATTATTCCTAGGCAGAACGGATTTAGAGGAAGAGATTACAGATAGATTACAAAGAAATTGATTACCTAAGGAATAATGTTATTATAATCGCTAAATGTGACTGATAATATCAAGAAAGTAAAGATAAAAGCTAGGATTTCATTTGCAAATTATTTATGAATGTATCTTCCTGTGTTCTTAACAGGGCCATTGCTTTTATCAAGGATATGCTGCAGAGACTCCAAAGTCAGTTGCAACACTAAGTACTTGTTCTGGACTCAGGTGATGTCATATTCCACAGATGTACCTTAAGATCTTGTGTGAGCCCATAATTTTCAAAAAGGATAGAGTGAATAATAAGAAATATAGACTCTCTTGTGTTTCTTATCATATGCTTTTTTTTTTTTTTTTTTACCTATTCCTCTTTCTCTTATCTATTTTCCTATTCTTTTTGTCTGTGTCCCACTGGTGCAGTCATAAAAATGCATGCAGAAAAGCTTCCACTTGCATGAAGAGTATTCAGGTTTCTTGGCCACACTATAACCACACCTATGCTTACTTGCTATAATAGACAAACGATGAGCATAAAATTGTGTTTGAAAGTTAATACAAGAACGATGGGTGATTCCCAGATAATTGAGTGCAATGACTATTGTCAAATTTTATAAAATGTTTTTATTTAGCATTTTTTTACATTTCTCAGTGGGGCATCTACACCAATTATGTTTTTATTTATTTTATGTTGGAATATTTAGGGGAATGCTGCAGTTAAAGAATATCAGTTATGGTATTGAACCATTGGAATCATCACCTACATATGCACATATACTTTACCAAATAATGAATAATAAAGTTGATGAGTTCTCCTTTCAAGAAAAGTACTCTGTCACCCAAGATGTAGATCAACCCTACAGGATTCTTGTCAACTCAGAAGTGAGTATTCTTTTTTATGAGCTTTTCCTTTATCTTACTTTTGATAAACTTATTCACATTGAAATTTTGAGATTTGACAAATTTGGAAAAAATTTAACCTGATATTCATTATATTAATAATTTCAAAGATATACAATGTAACCAAAATGTCACACACACAAAAAAACTTTTATCGGGTGGTGGGCAGGTGGGAAGGAGAGGAGGGGTAGGATGTATACTTAGATAATGGGTGCAGTGAGCACCACCTGGGGGTTGGACTGGACATGCTTGATGCTCTGGCACGGCGGGGGGTGGGTGGTGGTGGTGGTGGCGGTGGTGGTGGTGGTGGTGGTGGCAAGGGCAATATATGTATCCCTAACAATATTTGTATCCCCATAATATGATAACAAAAGGGAAAAAATAAAAAAAATTCAGTTGTAGAATACTTGTTTTAAATATATTTTTGTTTCTTCAGATAAAATTAAGAAAATATAATAGTTATAGACAATTTTAACATCAAAATCCTGATGTTTCTCTAGTTGCAAGGATTTTTATACACACACATATATTTATATAGTTGTTTTATACCAAATTTACATCCTATTTATAAAATTTTTCCAAATTTGTTCAAGTTACTGAATAAGCATTTTCTTTGCCAATACATTTTTTTTTTTTTTTTTGGTTAAAAAAGGGGATTATTTTGGTAGAGAATTTAAAAGTGAAAAAGAGACAAGATAATATGCCAGAGGGGAGACAAGATGACTGACTGGAGACAGCTTGCCAGACAGTCCTGGGTGGAAGTTAGGAATTCTGATATACGGTAGAGGAAAAGAGATGCAGAACAGGTGTAGATTATAGGGAGACATACCAGAGCTTGCCAGGGATCTCATAGAGGAAAATTACGAAGCAGAGAAGTGAGAAGATAAAGGGAAAAGATGCCACCGCAGATCAAACCCAGAGAGTCTCTGAGCCCGGTGTAAGGGTAAAGGGGGAATTTCTCTCACCCTTCCACAAGCATTCCATGGCCACCGGGCTATGAAGTTTCTTGGAGATTATCCCACCCCCATGAGCCCAGGCACAGTGGCAACACGATACACATGGATCAGCACAATAGTTACTGTCCATTTTAAAACCACCCAAAACTTAAAGCCCAGAGCTCAGATAAAGCAACAGTACAAGAGGTAAGAAAAATCAACAAAGTACTATCCTACAGGATGAACAGAACAGCCATCCCAGATACAAATTCTATCAATCAACGTTAATTTGGTTTGAATTCCCCACTCAAGAGATGTAGGCTGGCTAAATGGATTTTAAAAATACAGGTCAAGTATCTGCTGTCTCCAGGTGACACATCTAACCAACAAGGACACTGACAGACTAAAGGCCGAGAGATGAAGTGATTGGGGCTCACACCATGAGCCCAAATCCATGAAATCCATAAATGGATTTCTGATCCAGGAACACCAAAAATCCATGAAAAACGAAACCAAAAGAAAGCAGGTGTAGACATTCTTGTGTGAGATAAAATTGGCTTTACATCAACCATGGTAAAGAAAGACAAAGATGGTCATTATATGATGGTAAAGGGAGCAATTCAACAAGAAAACATAACAATCCTAAATATTTATACACCTACCACAGGAGCACCTGGATTCATAAAGCAAACCTTACCAGATCTAAGTAGATAAACAGCAACATTGTAATTGCCGGGGACCTCAACACCCCACTGATGGAACTGGACCAATTATCTAAGCAGAAAATAAAAAAGAAATCTTGGACTTAAATGGGACTATACAGCAATTGGGCCTAAGAGACATTTATATTTTTACCAAGAAACCACTGAATATACATTCTACTCTTTAGTACCTGGAACATTCTCTAAGATTGATCATATTTTAGGGTACAAAATATGGCTCAGAAAACTTAAAAAATTGAAATCATGCCATGTATCTTCTCAGACCACAGTGGAATAAAACTGGAAATCAACTCCAAGAGAAACAGTTGATTCTGCACAAAGTCATGGAAATTAAACCACATGCTTCTTAATGATTATTTGATCAACTATGAAATTAAGAGGGAAATTAAGATTCCTCAAACCGAATGACAAAGAGGACACACATTATCAACATTTGTGGGATACAGGAAAAGTAGACCTAAGGGGGCAATCAATAGCTTTAAATGCCTACAAAAAGAAGACCAAAAGATTACAAATTCACAGACTAATGACACTCTCAAAGAATAAGAAAAGGAAGAGCAAACCAAGTCCAAAGGCAGCCAACAAAAGATATAACTAAAGTCAGAGCAGAACTAAATGAAATTGAAAATAAGAAAATTATACAGAAGATTAACAAAACAAAAACTTGGTTCTTTGAAAAGAGAAACAAAATTGATAGACCTCTGGCTAGATTAATCAGGAATAGAAGAGAGAGGACTCAAAAAAGTTCATATATAAATGAAAAGGGAGGTATTAATATTACAACTGATATCAGAGAAATACAAAATATCATTTGTGAATACTGTGAAATTCTCTATGCACATGGATTGAAAATGTGGAAGACATGGACAAATTTCTGGAAACACACAACTCCAAAGGCTCAATCAATAAGAAAAAGAACTCTTGAATTTCTTGCTGATTTTCCTGAATTCTATATAGATTCTGGTTATGAGCCCTTTTTCTGATGTGTAGCATTCGAATATTTCCTCCCCTTCTGTAGTTGTCTGTTTGCTCTCATGATAGTTTCCTTGGCTGTGCAGAAGCTTTTTAATTTGATTAGGTCCCATTTATTTACTTTTGTTATTGCTGTGATTGCCTTTGAGGTCCTCTTCATAAATTCTTTCCCTAGGCCAATGTGATAAAAACTCTCAAAAAGCTAGGCTTAGAAAGAACATATCTCAAAATTATAAAAGCTGTATGTGACAAACTCACAGCCAGCATAGCATTGATGGGAAAAAGTTGAAAACATTCCCACTAAAAGTGGAAGGAAGTTTTTCCAACATTTCCTTCTAGAATTCTTATAGTTTCATGACTTATACTGCTTGTGGGACTGCAAAGTAGTACAACCTCTGTGGAAAGTAATATGGAGATACCGCAAAGAGCTACAGGTAGAACTCCCATTTGCCACGCAATCCTATTACCAGGCATCTACCCAAAGGAAGAAAAGACATTCTATGAAAAAGACATCTGCACTAAAATGTTTATAGCAGCACAATTTACAATTACAAAGATGTGGAAACAACCCAAGTGCCCATCAATACATAAGTGGATTAATAAAATGTGGTATATGTATACCATGGAGTGCTATTCAGCCACACACAAAAAAAAAAACAATGCTGATCTAGCACTTCTTGTATTATCCTGAATAGAATTGGAACCCAATCGTTGAAGTATCGCAAGAATAGAAAAACAAGCACCATATGTACTCACTATCAAATTGATATTAACTGACTTAACTGACCAACACTTAAGTGTACATATAGTAGTAACATTTATTGGGTGTCAGGCAGGTTAGAGGGGAGAGGAGGGAATGGGTATATTTACACCTAATGGGTGCAGTACACACCGTACGGGGGATGGACATGCTTAAAGCTCTTACTTAGGTGGTGCAAAAGCAATATATGTAACCTAAGCGTTTGTACCCCTGTAATATGCTGAAATAAGAAAAAAAGAACTAACAAGCAATTAGATTGAAGCAGCAATAAAAAAAAAATCTCCAGCAACAATAAAGTCCCAAACCAGGTGGATTCACTGCTGAATTTTCCCAGACCTACAAAGAAGAGCTGATACCCGTGGTGCAGAAATTATTTCATAACATTGAGAAGGAGGGAATCCTTCCCAAAGCATTCTATGACACCAGTATCCCCTTGATTCCAAATCAAGGAAAGGACACAACAAAAAAGAACCCTACAGACCAATATCTCTTAAGAATATACATACCAAAATCTTCAATAACATACTATGAAACCAAATTCAATAGCATATTAAAAAAAAATTATCCATGAGCAAGTGGGCCTCATCCCAGGGATACAAGGATGGTTCAACAACATAAATCAATAAATGTACTTAACCACATAAACAGAAACAAGAACAAAGGTCATATTATCGTCTTAATAGATGTAGAAAAAGCATATGACAAAATTCAGCACGCCTTTATGTTAAAAACTCTGCAAAACCGGGCTTAGAAGGAGCATTTCTCAAAATTATAAAAGCCATATATGACAAACCCACAGCCAGCATCACACTGATAGGAAAAAGTTGAAAGCATTCCCACCAAAAACTGGAAGAAAACAAGGATATCCACTGTCCCTTCTATTCAACAAAGTGTGAGACATCCTAGCCAGAGCAACCATGCAAGCAAAATAAGTTAATGGTATCCAGATTAGGAAAGAAGAGATCAAACTCTTGATATGTTCTCATGCCTAGAAAACCCCAAGATTCTACCAAGAGACTCCTGGAATTTATAAGTGGACTGGGCAATGTTTCTGGGTACAAAATCAATCTACACAAATCAGTAGTATTCCTATATACCAAATAACATTTAAGCTGGGACTTAAACCAAAGACTAAATACCATTCCAATTACTATAAAGAAAATAAAAAACCGAGGAATATACTTAACTAAGGAGGTAAAAAACTCTATAAAGAGAACGACAGAACACTGAAGAAAGAAATCACAGATGTGGATTTCCACTTTCCAGAAGTGGAAAAATATATCATGCTCATGTATCAGCAAAATCAACATTGTTAAAATGTCCATACAGTCCAAAGTGATTTATAGATTCAATGCAATCCCTATCAAAATACCAATGTTATATTTCACACATCTAGAAAAAAAAATTCTATACTTCCTGTGGAACCAGAAAACAGGCCAAATAACCAAAGCAATCTTAAGAAAAACAAACAAATCAGGAAGCATCATATTACTAGACTTTATACTACCCGGGTATAGTAACTAAATAAGCTTCCTATTGGCACAAAAATAGAGGCATAGACCAATGGAACAGAACAGTTATAAAATGATCCAAATGCAGCCAACTGAGTTTTGCAAATCAGACAAAAATGCACACTGAGGAAAAGAAGCCCTATTCAATAAATGGTGCTGGGCAAATTGGATAGCCACA